GTGACGCTTCAAGTGCCAAAAGACAAATCCATGTTCCTTTGCTAATATGTTAAAGTTCCTCCATTCCAAGACTTGTTTTCTGGTTTTGTAATAATGGTTCTATAAATCCCCGATATTGATATGTCTTTATTTGTTACTTGCATCCTTTGTCAAGTACTTTGTTAATGAATTCTTGATTAAATTTTTTTAGGTACGAATGATGAAAGAAAAACTGTGTTATTAGGTTACGACATAGAAACAGAACAGCGTCTAGCTTTAGAAACAACTGTTTTAGTGGAGCCATATACTTTACCGGACGGAAGAGTCATAAAAGTAGGAGGAGAACGATTTGAGGCACCGGAAGCCCTCTTCCAACCACATTTGATCAACGTTGAAGGACAAGGCATCGCCGAACTAGTATTTAATACTATACAGGTATGAGTTTTTGTTTATTTGTTTTCGATATTCTAAATAGATATACTCGATGCGTTTGTGATAAATCGTTAAGACGAAGATTTAAATATTTAGAGTTAAAGGTCGCTACCAGCATTTCTTGGTGCATTATTTTACTAATAATGGTCACGTGGAGAGTACACGTTACACAGTGGTCCAAAATACAGAAAAGCTGGCCAAAAGTAAAAAAATCGACTTTTCGGGAATATTATTACATTTTCTAAAAGAGAACTAAGTTCCCTATATCTCCAAACCTGAATTTCCAGTTCAGTTCAAAGTTGACCTTCGTACGGAACAGACACTCAATTTATAACGAATATTTTATACGTACAGTCTTGCGAGTGTATCTCGAAAACGAAATGCGCAAATTCAATTCTGTAAAACGAAGGATATTCCTAGAACAAAATGTATAACAAAATATAAACCTCTGTATAACAAAAGCCGATAATATCAAAATCTTTGTATATGTGTTATATATAGAATATTTTAAGTTGAATTTAATTATGTAATAAGAAAGTATATAGTATTTTAAAAGATTTAAACTTTCAAATAGCCAAGCCAAGATGTTTACCGTTTTGTTGGCAGCATTTAAACCTCTTTTTTTCTACCTATATCTTTTGTTTGTTAAAAAATATTAATTTTTCTCAAGAGTAATATACCTTCATCTTTATAGAACTTTTATATAAATATGAACGTAGTTTTTAATTCTTCTCGACTTTTAATAATAAAATGTTTCGATATTGTCAATAATGAAAGTACTTCTTGAGAACAAGAAATAGTAAATACTATTTTTTCCTAAAATTTTAATTTTACAATCTTAGTTTGACAAGAATTAATATTCAAATATACTTATTTACTTTGTTTTGAAATAAAATATAATTAGTGACGTTTTAAACTTTCTAATCCTGTCTGTTTATCAGCTTTTACCTATTGTTCCTAGGCAGGTGGCCCTCAACTATTTATATGTTGGAAATTTCCTGTCATTTTATCAAGATATGTACTCTTACATTATTCATTTTTAACCTTGGTAATTTGTGGTATTTTGTCTAAAGTCAAAATCAATTGCATTTGGTACCCACCACTACTTGCTTTTAAAACCTCGATGACGTAATTCCAGAAATGTAAAAAGTATGCGATCGAACAGTAGATCGTATTGATTTTAGTTCACCTCTATACAACTTCTTATTTTGCACAGAATATAATTGACTTCTATATTGTCATTTCTAGATAAATTGTCAATTTTTTATAGTACAATGTTACTATCAGAACAAAATTGATATCCTATTCTTGTCGAAGTTCCTTCTCCTATCGAAGGTTGGCCATCACAACAGCTGTCCGTACTTTATTGGCGGCTGCTCTGAAAAGATCAATTAAGCTGCAACTATACCACTCTCTTAAGTTTCTCAGCCAGGAAATTCTTTTTCTACCTATGGATCTTTTACCCTTAATTTTACCTTGCATTAAAGTCCAAAATCTCATATTTTGCACGTTCGGTAATGTAACCTAAATATTCCAGCTTTCTTGTGTTGATGTTCTGTATCACCTCGCAATCCTTTTGTAACATTGTAACCTTAACACTTTTGCATTTGTAACTCGTTAGATCCAGGTATTTTCAAAATGCCTCTATAGCACCACCACTATAGCTCACAAAATTAATGCAAATAGTGAAAAATATCGGAATAGATGACAAGGATATTCGTGTCATTAAAAATTTGTACTGGAATCAAACCGCTATCGTAAAAATTGGAGATAACTACACCGATGAAATCCCCATACAACGAGGAGTCAGACAAGGTTACATTTTGTCGCCCACATTGTTCAATGTTTACTTGGACCAGCTATTTAAGGCACTTAAAAGACAACCATATGGAATAAAAATCAACGGGAAACTACTTAATGTGATTAGATATGCAGACGATATAGTAATTCTACCAGATAATATTGGTCTTCAAATTCTGCTTGATCGTATTCACGAGGTAGGAGAGGAAATGGGCATTAAAATAAACTCAAACAAAACCAAATTTTTAGTGTTTAGTCGTGACCCACATCCCGGTGTAAAGCTTCAATTGAACAGAGTCCAAGTGAGAAATTTCACAAAATGACGTATTTGGGAACTGTGATAACGGACCATGGACTTATAAACGTCCATGTAACGGACCAACTAAATCCAGACATAGAAATAAAACGTAGAATAGCAATGACTAAAACTACTTTTATGAAAATGAAGTCATTTCTTTGTAATAACCATCTCAGTTTAGAACTAAGGCAAAGAATGGTTAAGTATTATGTTTGGTCTGTACTTTTGTATAGTGCAGAAGTGTGGACGCTAAAAGTATCGATCATAAACAAAATTGATGCATTGGAAATGTGGGTTCATAGACGAATGCTGAAGATATCTTGGACAGCAAGAAAAACTAATGAAGAAGTAGTAATTCCGGGTATTACTTTATTGCCTATTCGAGCGTTCAAATCCCCCAATATTATTATCTTTCCTCTGACTTGATCTACTACTTTTTGTAATTCGTCATAAAACGTTTCCTTTGTTGTTCGAGGCTTGTTATTGTATATTGTAAGTTGAAACGCGTGTAAGAGAATGGTGAAAGACTTGAATTGAATCGAAAGGCAGTCATCTATATTTATTTTGTTAAAAACACTTAAAAACGCCAAAAAGTATGATGATTTATATAGGTAAATAGTTGATGTACTAATGGAATATAAATATTCCTAACATCGACATATAGCTTTATTACATTGGGTTTACAGTTTACTTATAAACGCAACCATCTATATTTATTTATTTAAATATTTCTTAACTACAATACAAAAATTTCCGTTAAAAGTGAATTTTCTGTCACTTTTTGTTTTTGTATTTGGTACACTGATCATAAAAATAGATCTAATAAAAAATAGACTTATGTGACTGGATGCCAAATATTAAAATTTAACCAATTTATGCATTTACCAAAAAGAATACATTAAATTATTGATTAAACATATAATGTTACCTGTTTACCATTAAAATATCGGGTATAACTATAGGGCATAGGTTAGGTTAGGTTTAATATGAATGGGCGCTTAAGAATCCTTTCATTCGACCTAATAGGTCTTATCATTGGCATAATATGGATTGATACGCCGTTTACAGTTTCAGAGGGAGCTTGATCTGCATTATTGTCATTACTTTAGCCTTTATACCTAGGATATTATTTTTATCGATCCTATGCATGCATGACCTCTAATTTCTCTTGACACAACTGAGGGAGGCATATGTTAAACAGTGTTCAATCCTTTGCTCTAGTAATCTCGGGTTTTATTTCTACGTTCTATGTTCGTGTTTCTGGTCTTGAAATAACTCCCTCTGTATATTCCTTCTATGGGCGTATTTTGGTAGTGTTTCCATAATTACATTTCTCTCTCTGTCTAAGAGTATGTTTAAGTTATTCTGTTTTCCAACTCGAGCTAGTTCTTTGTTCGTCTTCCTATTTTAAATACTTTATAACTGTTGGTATCGGATCTTATTCTTAAATTTTCTTCTTTCATTTGATCAAATTTCATCAGTCTTTTCCTGTCTTGTTGTAAGCGCTTTTTTATTAGTTGCTCTGTCGTATATTTCCATTTAGGAAGAATCATTTCTATTAAAGAAATAAAAAATATAGGCCGAAAATAAAATATGAAATATTTTTTATCTGTTAATAATGAGATTATTTTTATGAAAATACTAAGATTGTTATGAAAATAATAAGACTTTGTATTATTTTTTTAGGCGGCAGATATAGATATGCGATCGGAACTGTACAAGCACATCGTTCTATCAGGAGGTTCCACAATGTATCCTGGGCTTCCTTCTAGATTAGAACGAGAAATCAAACAGTTATATATAGAGCGGGTACTTAAAAACGACATTGAAAAGCTCAACAAATTCAAAATTAGAATAGAAGACCCTCCTAGAAGGAAAGACATGGTGTTCATAGGGGGAGCCGTTTTAGCCGAAGTTATGAAAGACAGAGATGCGTTTTGGCTATCCAAACAAGAATATGAAGAACAAGGATTGAAGATATTAAAGAAATTGGGTGCCAGAGCTGTATGAATGATGTTACGAGATTAAATAAAATGGTAATTGTCGTTCGTTGATCTAAATAATGGGTTTTAACAAGCTGATAATCAATACGTTTATAGATTTTTAACTACCAGTTTGATGCCTATATTAAAAAGTTATCATATATAATTTAGTATTAAAATATGTCATTGTTCACGATTTAGAGAGCTAGTTTAAAAATGTTCTGAAGCGCAATTGTGCAACTATTTTTCACTGCCACGTACAATTATACATTTTTGGACGAACTGTATATCATTTATTGTAAGGTACCTCCTCTTAAACACCTATTAACTGTGCTTTAACATCTTCAGACCTAATCTACCTTGCAAACTACTGACTGCATCGACTAATATCGGTTTTTGTTTGTATCATCAAGGAGTATTTGAGTATTTGATTTTTAATGTTCTTTACAATATGTTGTTTTGCTATTCGTACTCAATACTCATTAGTTTCTAGTATTTTCTTTTCTTTGTTAGTTAGATTCTTAGTACACTTCAATTTATCATCAACAAATGACAGCATAACATGCTGGATCATCACGTCTACAATATATACTTATATACAACATATATCTGTATTGTAGCCCAATGTACATATTTGAGTTCAGCAACTGTTTTGAAACTTATTTACTTTTATGTACAATTTTTTGTATCTTGAAGTGAATAATCTTGGTATACATACCTTTTAATAGTTTATGACCAAAAAAATTCAAAGAAATTAATGCAGTATAAAAATTATCTCGATCTGCTAGGGCGGTCCGATGAGTACTTAACCTACAAAAGAGAAACGAAAAGTTTGGAAAAGTGGCGATGTATTTCTCAACCTAGTCTCCTTTTAGCTCGATACACTTGACCCAGCGATGCTCTAACTTCTTTAATCCTTCTGAAAATACTCTTTCTCGAGGTCTGAAATGTAGACTTTCGTGGCGGCGAGTGCATTTTTTAGTTTGGAAACAATAAGAAGTCTAATGGGGCCAAATCTGGAGAATACAGTGGACGGAGCAACAGTTCGTGGCCCAACTTAACCGATTTCACCATGGCGACGGCGGAGGTATGAGCTGGTGCGTTTTCATGGTGGAAGAGCACTTTTTTCTTCGCCAAATGGCGTCGTTTTTTATGCAATTCGGCATCTAATCGGTCCAATAATTCGGCGTAGTAGAGCCCTGTGAGCGTTTTGGCCTTCTCCAGTAATTGATGTAGTTCACCCTTTGTGAATCCCAAAAAAATTGTGACCATCACCTTTCCGCCGATAGGATAGTCCTCATCTTCTTCGGAGCACGTTCGCTGGGTGCCGTCCACTGTTTTGACTATTCCTTGGTCTCTGGTGTGTACCAGTGGATCCATGTTTAGTCGACGTTTACGAAACGACGTAGAAACTCCTTTGTATTACGTATCAGTTTTAAAAACGTCAAACACTGCTCTGAAGCGGTCTCACGTTTGCGCTTGTTTTCCGCTCAAACGTTGCGGCTCAAAAGCTGCACCCATCGCGCCAATAGCTTTCTCATGCCCAAAATTTCTTGGAGGATATGACATACGCGGTCTTTTGAGATACTTACTGTCTCAGCTATCTCGCGCAGCTTCAGTCAGCGGTCTGCCAATACGCGATTTTGGATTTTTGTCAAGTTATTCTTCGTGGTAGCCATTTTCGGCGCACTGAGGCGTAGCTCATCAATAACCGACGCGACGTGCGACCACGTTGATACTCGAACCAATTTTTGACGGTTGCCGTTGAAACAAAAGAGTCACCTTACACAGCATCCAATCGCTCTTTGATTTCGCTGCGCGATTTTCCTTTCAAAAACAAGAATCGAATCACCGACCGATATTGCTTTTTTTTTCCTTTTTTTAAAATCTGCGGACACGCGCTGCCAAAAACCAAACTAAGAGTCCGATTTGGCTGAAATGTTGACATTAGCCGTCTATGAGAATCTAAGTACTTATCGTACCTCCGCCTACTACAAAATATCTCTTATCAGTTGTGAATAAAAATGTAACTGACAACTTTGGTAGGGTCCTATTTAATAAACTAGTTAATATTCGTTTAATTCCAGTTCTAAAGATCTCTTCTTCAAGTAAATGACATAAATGAAATATGTCAATATATTTCCGTTAAATTTTATGTACTCAAATAAGTACAATGGGCTTAACTGGATTAATATGAGATTACATTTCTTTTATGAAACTATTAACGTTATGTATAAAAAGTTAATGATATCTCATATTCTGTGGAATTAGCAATAATGACATAATTGCTCCATTTCAGTTTTTGTGTCATATGAATCGTTTTATGAATACCGTATTAGAATAAACTGAATAGCTGGTCTACAGCAACTTATTTTTATTTCTCCTTGGGTCTATAGTAATAAATTTTTCTCCCAATATAGCATTTTTCATAGTTTGATTATGTCTTACTACATACAAGTGATTCTGGACCGCTTGGAATGTGACTATAAACATTATTGTGTTCTACAAATATTCCATGATATATATACAAATAAGTTTCCTGGATGGAACCAAACGTTACATGACCCATAATTAGATATATAACCATTTACTCATCTAGGATAGCATCGGTCTACCTAAAACCATTGTTTTGGGCTTGATACAAATGAACTGAAGTACTTTCCCAGTCTTTATTCTAAGAAGTACTTTCTTCACAAGCGTTTATGTGTAAATAAGAATAGTAGAATTAGTAAATCCCTGCCTAAAATTTTAACACAGTCCGATATTTGTAGAGTTAAATATTTATATATATATATATATATATATATATATATATATATATAGCAAAAAAAATATATATATTATATATATATATATATATATATATATATATATATATACCAAATATATATAATATTTGGTATAGTCCGCAAAGCACAAGTACATGAAAAGATTTCTTGGACATTTTGAACGAAAATGACGAACTATTTAATATTGTTGTCAAACTGTCACTAAAAGTTTCTATAAACATAAGAATGTCAGCTGTCAAATCACGTGGTTATGCGGTTTCTTAGGAAATACACTGTTGCAGTGTCTTAAGAATATTTAGGTCAAGGAAAAGTTCTACTTAAAATTAGCCAAAAATGTTGTATTATATATTTCCATTATTTTTAAAATCATGTGCGGTAAGAATGGGCAATGCAATATTTAACTACATTATGTTATACAGATTAAAACGATTTAATATTATAGATTAACCACATTAAAAATAGTATAGGTCCTCATAAATACGTTGCGCGTCATTTAATTTGACATAATTTTCGTCAAGCATTGCTATCATAGGGATTATGAAATAATGAAAATGTAAGGTTATTATTATTATTAATTCAGCTCTTCAGAAGCACCTAATGAAAAATTGCAACGACAGACGTAATGAAGTATAACAAATATTATATCTAAAATTAAATACAAAAAAAACTGCTACTTGACAAAACATTCATAATGACTAACATGTTTGGATATCGTTATATTTCAAAACATCACTGTTTTGTTACTTCTAATTCAGCAGTTACTGATATTAGTGGTATTAATGGTTAGGGCAATAAGTTAAAGTTAAAATACTTTGTTATTTTTCACTGAAGTTCTTGTCGATACTTCTTCCCTTTTCCAGTCCAAGTCAGCTACTTCCTTTCAGTTACTCTCAACTTTTCTATCTATCTTACTCTCGGTCTTTCTCTCCTACTTTTTATGGGCCTCTAAATAACACCATCTTTGGCATTCTTTGGGTATGTCCCAGCCACCTCATTCTTTGTGCCTTGACGTATGTTTAGTATATGGGTTGGTCTGCTATTAATCTACACCTGCACACAGTATTGCACTACGGAGTGTATCAAGCCGAGAGTCAAGGACCTTAATGTGATGTTGCTTCAATAGTCTATTATCAAGATATATCCTTACTTCTGTTTTTTAGTTGTTTTTTAGATTAAAAGAAGATACTTCAATTTTTGTAGTTTATATTTCTTACACAGTATGTTAGGTTTGTTTATATTCTACAAAACTTTAATATTAATAAAAATACATATGACAATTCTATAAACAAGAGTAAAAGTTCCTAGCTGTTATTTTCACTCAATAAATGAAAGTTTTAATTCGTGTACTAGTTTTCTATATTTAATGTAAATTATTGTTTTTTGAGTGCTAAATATAAATTTTATTTTATTGAGAGTAAGGCTAAGTAAAAATAATGTTAACATTATCGTTACGGAATTTATAAACAGTTGGTTGTACTGTAACGACGTAGAAACGTCATTTGTGACTTGCAACGGACTTAAGAAAAAATGATATAAAACTGGAATTAGATATTGCACCAGTGCCAAAGTTGTATAAAAGTTCATCTCTCAACACCCCTTCCAGTGCTAGAAATAAGGTACAACTGCAGGTATTTTGATATAAACGCATTATACAAACAATATTATTAGTACAATACAAAAATCGACGTTGCACTTTTATTTGTCAATCTTAAGAATAAACGAATTTTCTTAGATTTACTTGGTCGTATTAGTTTATTAGTGAAAAAGCAGCGCACTTCTCGTGTGCGTTGTAGTACTAAAATATAATTGTGGTTAAATGATGCATAGCAAATTTCCTATTCTTATTGATGCTTTATTCTTTGTTAGGTTTAAAAATTCCTTGGAACCTAAATGTAAATTATCGGTCAATCATTTTACTACTTATTATTAAATGAAATATCTCCAAAGTTACTGTCAAATAGTACAATAGTTATCTTAATGAAGTGTTAGTATTTATTTCATTTGTAAAGACTACTTTTTATTATATTTCTTATTTTTAATATTGTGCATTTTATTTTATTAAGATTGTAGAATAATTTTATATATACTTCGATAAAATAAATTTAGTTATTTATTGTTGTCATATTTTAATTAAAAGGTGCAATCAAAAATATCTCTTTTCCGATCTTGATGTCAAAGTGCCCCTTAATCGTTGTACCAAATAAAAACTGAATCACTCAACACATAAAATTTAACATTATATTGAATGCTACGCGGTCAAATTTGATTGATAGCATATTTTATATCGACAACAGCGCTATGGTACTGTTAAGTACGGTCCTGCTCGCGCACATCGTAGTATGAACCCTGCCAATTGGGCGACTGCGTTCCGATCTACCACGATTAAACCGAACGCACTCCATCGACAGAGGTATCCTTACGCCAGAGGAACAAGAATAGTGACGGGAATTTCGGGTCATCTTTAAGATTCGGGTCACCGGTTCCGGTTCACTTAAGAGAACCGGATCACTTTCTCGTGTCACGGGTCAGTACAGATCATAATTATGCAAACCAAATCTATAATTTTAGCGGTAGGTGTGGGTGGATAATCGAGTGTAAGAGCATTGTGTTATTATGTAGTTGTTATTCAATGTTACAAGTAAATGTTATGACAACCAAAAATTTACTTTGATCTATTAAATTTTACCTAATTAAACTTAAATTCAAATTTAATTTTTTTTAAGCTAATTATATATCAATAACTAAACGTTTCTTTAAGCATGCTAGTTTAAGCATACCTTTCTAAGGTCTCTTTAATGTAAAAAGTACAAGAGATTTTGTAGGTCTTTTACTAATTTATTATTATTATGCAACGAATAATACGCCGTGCCATAAAATATTTCGGGGAATACCATAAATGTTACTTGCTCTGAACAAATACGATTGTGATCAAAAATACAAGAAATACAAAAGAATATATAATAACCAAAATAATCACTTGGAAAGCCAACAAATATATACATATTTTTTGCCGATAATATATATTATAAGTATAGTTTTTAATTAATATTTTACTATCAGTAAAATAAATAATATTTTGCTCTCCTAAATACCCTCGTAAAGACAACCGACGTCCGAAGATCAATTCACTATTCACGTTCGTTTCAAACGAGCAAGACCGCAAAATATCTGAAAAGATTCGGATATGTTTATAAGAACTTGGGATTCAGTGTTCAGCTGACTCCTCGCTTTCGCTTAGAACTACATCATTCCGCGAGTCATATGTGTTTATTACTGACCCGTGATCCGTTAGATTTAATTTTGAGATTCGGGTCAGTTGGATCTTTCTGAAGATTCGGCTCATTGAATCGGGTCAGTTCTGATTTGCACATCACTAAACAAGAACAGAATGACGACACCCCTGCTTCGATGAAGATACGACATATTTAAATTACATTTAAGATATTATACAGCTATAGTTTGTTGTTTTAGTGTTTGTTCAATAAAATTACGTGAAATTCTCAAAATCTTTTACCACAAGCTCTTCTAGCTACATCAGTAGGAATATGAAACAAGAGGCTTCTTAACAATGTTTCACCGACGAGTTTTTCTTTTAATATATTTACACTCATGCACAATTTGAAAAATTTTGGTTGTGGTAATTCCAATTTTAATGCTGTTTAGGTGATAGGCCTCTAAGTGTTGTACCTGAGGAACGTAAGGAACCACGAATCGCAATATCCCCTTAGGGATATTGCGATTCGTGCCTCTGTTAAAATAAATGAACCGTATTTCAATTGTAAAATTTCTAAGAAAGCCATAATTACTTCAACAGCGCTTCAAACAGTAGTTCAAACAAAAACTTCAAGCAGTTTTTGCCTACCTGCAAAATACGAATAATCGAATA